TCCTGTTCCCACACCTTCCTTGCCCATGCTGACTTCTGAGTCTTCCCAGGATAACTGATCCTCCTTGCCCTTCAGCTTCTACATCTATCATGTTGATACAAAACTCCCAATATTAGACAAATCTGACTTTAGGCCTATACCACATTGCTGTGGAAATCCACCATTGAGAAGACTGGCTCTTCTACCAATCTGTGTTTCTGATCTCAAATAGCTACTCAGCATTGCTCATAAGCTTGTTACTAATCTCACTCAGTTCCTATAATGTGGAAGTTCAGACTATGTTAAGTTTCAAATTTTTAATCCCCTACTTCTTCATTTCTTTGAACACAACAAGCTGTCTCTTTCATATGAAAATGTCATGAGATGCAAACTCCATTAAACTCCTATCACTCCAAAAATTACAGTATAGACCTAATAATATGCCACTTAATGATGCAAACTCCCTCATATCTCTGTCATCTCAAAAACTACACTATAATCTCAACAATATGCCATGAAACTATAAAAAGGATACAAATATTTGTGAAGAAAAGGAATCAAACTTCAGAGCTACAAAAATTCTTATGTTTTTAATACACTAATCTCTTTTCCAAAAATTATGAATTTGCTTACTCTTCTATTGGTTTAAGATTTTGAAATGTGTAAAAATATAGTCCTAAAAACAGTAAAAGAAACTTGTAAATCTCATGACAACTGACTCTCCCACACTTCACAACTTCATAGTGCAGAGGCTGAATAAGAGATGAACAATACTCTTGAATGGGTACAGAGATTTGGATTGGGATGATAAAATGTGCTAGAAATTAAAAGTTCTGATATTTTATAACTACATCAATGTTTATAAGGCTACCAAACTATATACTTAAAATGGTTAAATAGTAAATTTTCTTCTGTATTTCTATTAAAAAAATCCCATAATAGCAATAAGCAACACCCACAAAAGAAACAGAAAAACGGAAGACACCCACAATGTCTTCCTATTCCTATTCTGATGAACAAGACTATAATTTGACTCCTACCTAACTCTATCTTTGTCTAACTGCTGTCTTTGTCTAGAGATCTTAGTTTAGTTCTAGAATACTCAGTTGAGCTGGGCTTCCTTTAGATCCTCAATGACACAGTGGTCTCTCTGGTTCTGGCTTTAGCATATAGAATTCCCACTTCCTGAACAGGAAGGAAAAAGATTAACTCACAGGATACCCTGAGCTGTCTTGAGTGGTTCACTCTGGCACACTCAGTCATTGTAACCCTCCCTTCCTCCCTGAATCTTCCCATGATATTCATCAAAATTGCAACTACCTAGTTAGTGCCTGAATTGACAATTCAGTGAAAGCCTGGATTATTTTTGTTTTTTGAGACAGGGTTTCTCTGTGTAGCCTTGGCTGTCATGAACTTCACTCTGTATACTAGGCTGTCCTCGAACTCAGAGATCTGCCTCCTAAATGTTGGGATAAAAGATGCGCCCCATCACTACCTGGCAAGCTTGAATTATTTTGATCCTAGAGTGTATCTGATGGCTAACACATGGCCTGGCATATACCAGATAACCTAAAATTAGTTTTATTATACATGCATACATACATACATACATACATACATACATACATACATACATACATACATACATACATACATGCCTAAATATATGCCTGTGCAACACAAGTGTGACTGGTTTCTGTGGAGGCCAGAGGGGGATGTTGGATTCTCTGCAACTGGAATTATAGATAGTTAGTAATTGTCATGTGGCAGCTGGAAATTGAACATGGGTCCTGTGAAAGAACAGCCAGGGCTCTGAACCACTAAGCCATCTCTCCAGGCCCCTAAAAATACTTTTTGAATGAATGGATTAATTAAAAATCAAGCCAGAGCCAGTAGGTAGGATGAAATGACCTCATATACCAATTCAACATAGGATGATTCAAAATCAGAAGTCTGTTGGAACTGAACTACAGACACTCCATTCTCACATCTCTTCAGCACAAACCTGACTTTCCAAACATAAATGCAGAATCCATCCTACATCTTATTTAACTATTTAACTATTCCTCAAACATACCTTGAGTATTCGGTATACTATCATTTCAGATCCCAGCCATTTGCACATAGAACAGATAGTCCTGTATTTAGCCAAAGGAAGAACACTAAATGACACAGTACTGGAGATATATAGAGGTAAACATGACCCTGATCGTGCTATAAATGGATATAACACCTTGACTACATATTATCAATCTGCACTTCCACTCTCAAGAAAATTTAGACAAGTAATTCTCCTAAGTAGTGGAACTGGCATGGAATGTCATGTCCCACTGAGGACTGAACCCAGGACCTCGTGCATAAGAAGCAAGCACAATCTCACCAGATCTTCCTAGGCTAATTTAAGTTTTAAGCACAACATAAGAAAGGACAGATGTCTTCCCAAAGCTCATCTTTGTTTTTAGTTTGAGAAAGTGTCTCACTATGTAGCCCTGACTGGCCTAGAATTCAGAATAGCCTCAAATTCAGAGATCTACTTGCTTCTGCCTTCCAAGCAGTAGTATAAAAGGCTTGTGCTGTAACACCTGGCTCCAAAGCAAAAACTAAGGAGAGCTCCAATAGAGGGTGCTTGGTTGGATTAATCACATGTCTTCTTCTTGTAAGCACAGGAGTATTATTAAAGTTGCCACTTCTGAAGTCTCTCGTGTTTAGAGAAAAAGTCAAGAAAAAATGGGGAGGAATACAAAAGAAAATAACAAAATACAGGGTAAGCGATTTAACCCCTAAAATGCACAAGGGGACTGAGTATGCTCTAAACCGTCCCTTGCTTGAACAGTATTTGTCAATTTATTCACTGTGCTTCCTTCTCCAAATCCTGTTTGTATTTATAGCTTTGTCTAAATAGAATTCAGCAGAGTGATTAACACATAGCATTTGGGTAAGGGTATCCTGGTTGAGTAATCCCTTTTCCCTCTGCTTTTCAAATCAAATGGGGTATGTGGTATTAGGTTACTTAGAACCTAAGTTCTTTCTTCAGATTAAATTTGTATTAACGTGCTTTAGGCCATTACTCAGGAATTTAATAAGATTTTTAAAGACAAAGTAACACTCTTGCTTGAACATTTCACTTAACTTTATTTTGAATGCAGCATGACATTTCAAATATAAAATATGGGTCTAGGATGGAATAACGATTCACAATTTGCATTCTGTAAAATTATAGTGTGAAAATGACACCTTTCTAAAATAAAAATGCTGTGGAAGAAAATATAGCCTCCCACAGCCTAACTTAAAATGTCAGGAAATGCCTTGATCTGAATCAAAGTTTATGGAACCACAGTGCTTTCAAGGTAAAGAAATAAAGGATTAGAAAGACTTCTGAAATGGATGTAGAAGAAAACATCTTCAAAGAGTTACAGATGGCTTAGCCCTTATGAGCACATACGGATCCAGACCTAAGTTCAGGTCCCCGGCACCCATCCTGGATGGCTGAAGCACGGAGATCTGACTCTATTCTGGCCTCCTTGGGTACCTGCATTCACATATGCATACACACATTTACACACACACACACACACACACACACACTTAAAAAGAAAAAGAAAATGCCTTTGAGAAGCAGAATGTTGCCCTTGAAATGATTTTATCTAGCAAGTAGAAAACAGAAAACAGAAGATAACCTTCACAACCACATAACATTTCACAAAGAAGAAATATTTCTCTTTGAAATACTGTTTGCATTAATAAGTGAGGTACACACTTCTGTTGTCATGTGGCAGATACACGGATACTAATCAAGAAACAGACAGTGGGGGGCTGGAGAGATGGCTCAGCAGTTAAGAGAACTGGCTTCGCTTCCAGAGGGCCCAGGTTCAATTCCAGTCCCACAGGGCAGCTCATAACTGTCTCTAACCCCAGTTCCAGGGGATCTGACACCCTCACGCAGACATATATGCAGACAAAATACCAATGCACATAAAATAAAAATAAATTTAAATAAAGAGACAGTAGGATAGACAGGTAGATTAAAAGTTTAGCCTGTTCTAGTTGTCCAATGGGAAATCTAGAAACCATATATCAAGTAAACAAACTTTGGCATCTCTAGTGCAAGAGTCATCATTAAAGTTTTTCATTTTAATCAATACCTAGACTCATACCAAACAGACCTATCATGGGAACAACACAAATATTAGGTAGGGTCCTGTATGGGAATCATAATTCTGTCTAAAAGAAACTGAAACTCTGAATCAAGATGGTTTCCTAAAACAAAAGAAGCAGAGTGCAGTAAGGCTCCTGGAAACTGACACCAGGTTCCACTCATCTCTTCACTTGTGGTGGTTTGAATGAGAATGGCCCCACAGGCTCACACATTTGAATGTTTCATTCTCAGTTTGAGATTTCAAAAGCCCATACCAGGCCCCATCTAGCTCTCTGCCTCCAACGGTGGGTCAGATATAGATATAAGCTTTCAGCTATTGCTCCAGTTCCATACCTGCCTGCTACCTTGCTCCCACCATGATGGTCATGGACTCACCCTCTGAGACTGTAAGCATGCCCCTAATTAAATGCTTTTTTTAAATATATTGCTTTGGTAAGAGTTTCTTCACAGCAATAGAACAGTAACTAAGACATCAATGTAACACCAAAACCTGCCTCATCTCAGCCTGTCACCCCAACACAGTCAAATGAATACCAAGACAACACACCTCTGTGTACAGACTCATCTCAAGAATAGGCACATTTTCTTTCATCCTTGACAAGGACTCATTATGTAGGCAATTAGGGCCTATAGCAGTTCTACTGCTATACTTGCCAAGTGCTGGAATTAAAGGCATGCACCACCACACCTAGCTATATTTCTTTTACGTTTTTTGTAGGTCATCCATACAAACTTTTACTTAAAGAAATTCTTTCACGGCTGCAGCAAGTTTGAAAGCCACTGGAATAAGGCGTGACTAACAGTGTTTAATGTTTAGAGTTTTAAGCACGTGCAGATAAAGGCTTATGGAGAATAATTATCCTACCTGATGTGTGCATTGCAGTATCGTTTAGCGTACTCGATCCAAGTCCCAAATTTTTGTGGGAAGAGAGCCTCAATCTGCATGAAAAGCTGTAACAATAAAAATATTCTTAATATAGTACAATATTTCCAAGTAAGTTATTATGATGATAAAAAATTTATTAAAATAATAAGTATAAAAGCAAAAAAAATTCTTCCTCAAGGCCTTTCCTTTTTCTTTACCCCCACCCTATCTATTTTTCAAGAACAACAATTATCTGTTTCTAAATGTAACAAACATCACATATATGTGAATGTGAATGTGAATGTATATATATATGTGTGTGTATATATATATATATTTTTTTAAAAAAAAAGATTTGTCTCCAGCCCCTGTATATATAATTTATTCACATATAGGCAATCATATTATAGTTCAATGAAAATCTTATTACAAAAATGTGTCAGGGGTTTTTTATTTTTTTATTTTATTTATTTATTTTTGGTTTTTCGAGATAGGGCTTCTCTGTGTAGCTTTAGAGCCTATCCTGACACTCGCTCTGGAAACCAGGCTGGCCTCAAAGTATTTTTTTTTTTAATTTTAAGGAGTATATAAGCTCGGGAGGCAGAGGCAGGTGGATCTCTGTGAGTTTGAGGCCAGCCTGGTCTCCAGAGCGAGTGCCAGGATAGGCTCCAAAGCTACACAGAGAAACCCTGTCTCCAAAAACCAAAACCAAAACCAAACAAAACAAAAAAACAAACAAGAAGTATATAAGCAAAGTACTGTAACAATAAAGAACTTTTTAAAGATTTATTTATTTATCATGTATATCATGTATACAGTGGGTGCCAGAAGAGGGCACCAGATCACATTACAGATGGTTGTGAGCCACCATGTAGTTGCTGGGAAATGAACTCAGAACCTCTGGAAAAGCAGTCAGTGCTCTTAACCCCTGAGCCATCTCTCCAGCCCTATAAAGAACTTTTTTAAATCTGGGAATCTCAGCTGAAGACGGGGGCATGATTATTGCATACAGCTTAATCAAGGAGGTAGTTATTAGACACAAATAAACAAAGAGGCAGGGGTATTATATACAGCTGAACAAGGAGACAGGCTTAGCTAATCTTGGTAGGAGCAGTCTCTGTGGGGAAGCAGTCTTCTGGACATAAACATTCAAGAGGAGAAAGCTATGGTAGACATTTTCTGCACTCTGTCAACATTTGCACTCAGAGCACAGGTAGGTTTTGCCATCCTTCTTAGCCTCACTGGTTATACCACTATCATGGAGCAATAGGTACTTGACATGGCCATGCCTATGTGAAACAATATAAACAAAGCACATTCATTCCACTTACTCCCAACATAAAGAAGATGACCAGTAGAACACACTAGGGAATAAAATGAAAAATGTGTCTGAATAAAGGTCCCTTTGATATTGAACAGCAGTTTTAAAAGAATGCTTAGGTTATTTCTTGGTTACCATTACAATCAGCATATAATCTTCCAGAGTTTATATTGTGGAGGAAAAAGAAAAGACCTGGAATGCTTACACCTTCCATATAGTGTTTCCTTGTGCCTGTGGTTTGCTTGGAAAGAAAGTTCTATCTCTAGTGCCTTAAATGTCACATATCATTAAAATCCTTAGGGTCTTTTATGCTTTCTCTATGACTGTCTAAGACTTGTAGTCCTTCAAGTCTCATCCTTGAGAATACAAACAGGTATAGGAAATTGTTTACATACATTTCAATTAATCTTCTTTTACTTTCAAACAATGATTTATTTACTTGTTTTCAAGTACTTGGTATACAACACAAAATCATACACAAGTCCAACTAGATAGAGCTGTATAAACTAGGGTTAAATATTACCATGCATTTGTTGAAAAGCAATTGATTTCCTATATATTCTTTCTTTATTATCATGTATAAGATCTGCCTGCCTCTGCTTCCTGAGTGCTGGGATTAAAGGCATGAGCCACCACTGTCCAGTCCAGCTTTTTTCTCTTATTTTCTAAAGTGCTTACTCTTTTAAAATAAAATTACATTCTATAATTGCAACATAGTTCTATACAACAGCAAGGAAATTACTTTGTGATTGTCCTTTATATATTAAACACATAAGTTTAGAATGTAAATTTCCAAAAGGTAGTGATTATGAAGAATTGATATTCCTTATTTATCAGGTTATTTGATCATCATCTGCCACACAACCAAGTATGTTTATGCTAAGAAATGGACTATAAATATAGAAGAGAAATAAATTACTACTTTGTTTCGTTTCGCATCCATGTATGTGTAACCTACACTTAATAAAGACATGTTTAGTTAAGACTATAAATGAGTCCTTTTACTTGTTCTACCAGAATACAAAGAAATTGAGTGTGTATTTGCTTCAAGTATAGGATTTGCAAAATGTATAGTTCAGATAAACATAAAAGCTTTTATTTTTATTTATTCTTTGATACAATACATACTGACTGCAGCTTCCTCTCCCTCCAGCCCTCCCAGTCTCCATTTCCCCTCTCCCCCAGATCCACTCCCACAACCATCTACCCCCATTGTAGGAAGCCGGTTCCTACATTATAATGCTGCCTGAAGACACCAAGGTGTAAATTACTTCACAGGCGCTGGGTAATCTCCATTCCTTTGATCTCTGCCTATCCCGTGGCTCATTTTGGCCTGAGGAGCTGGAGCCATTCATGGGGTAATACGTCCCAGGCGGCTGGTCAGCCTTTTATATAGGGATGGTTTTCTTAGTTCAATGTCTCTGCTCACTCTCTGCTCAGTCTCTGCTCAGTCTAATGCATTAAAGCTTGTCTGCAGAAGGATCCGAGTGTCCTGCGTGTGTTTCTTGCTGGCGAGGAATACAGAGCGGGCGCGGGACATATGGGCACGAAACCCGGGAAGCTTAACATCTCCAGCACC